CATGGCAACAGATTGGGCCCAGCACAGCGCCACACTCGAGGGAGGGGTTTGGTTTAGTCTGGTCTCTGGTAGCAAATCCTGCGGCATGAAGAGGGTGATGCGAGGGTCTTTCTCATCTCCTGTCAGTGCCGCCCATCCAGGCGCTGCATAGCTCCCCTCACAGGGTCAGTCTGCTTTTATGAGGAACAGGTGTTGTGGAGGAGCTCAGTGTTTTGATGATTTGTAGGCTAGCCTTAGTAAAATAAAGCTGGGGAAAGTGAACTTGATTTATCTTTAGAGATAGAAAGGGATGAGTGAGATGAGTACCTGAAGCTTTGGGGTGGTGCTGAAATGGCTTGTTTGGTTAAGAATCAGCTTAGTGAGGAAGACAGATCGAAGCTGGTTGGTCCTGGTAACGCTATACCACTGCTTTCCCTGAACCCTTTTGTTCTTAATGTCCCATCTACACTTTTGATGAAAGCATCCTGAAAGACATTGACCGATACCTGCTGCATAGTAGGTACACAGGTTAACTTGTGCTACTGTTTTTCCAAAGTAATCTGTGCTCCTTTTCCTTTGTAGTAAAGCCCAGGGAGACTAAGCAACTTGCTGAAAACTCTCAGCGACGGGTACGGGGAAGTGTAGTAAGCATGTTGTGTTCTGTTCCTTTTCCCCGTTAGCTGTTGTGGACATTTTAGAAACACAGGCATCTTCTCTGTTCGTCGCCTTCCTCCTGGGTGGAGACAAAGTTGATATATTTTGCAGACCCTCGGCCAGGTGGAAGGCCATCCACTTTTGTTCCCATGAGGCAGTCAGGCTACTGCTGGACAGACGTCGTGGCCTCACTGCACCTTCCAGACAGACCTGGCCAGCTCCCCTGGGGGAACTGCTTTGCAAAGATAGCTCATTGTCCCTCTAAACGTGATTATCTGCTCCGTTGTGGAGGTGCAGTCTGTGCAGCACTTGTCCGCCTTTGTGACCCAGCCTGCACATTAGGGCTTATCAGTCTTGAAGCCTTTGCTATTGGGTTTACCTTCTTTTCCCCTTCCAACAATCGGGCACTGCTAGGGGTACCTCTGCCAAAACCCGGGAAGTACAAACCAGTGTCTGCTACAGGCCGAGGAAGAATTCTGAAGGCTTCATGGAAAAGGGGACACTTCAGAGAACCTGAAAGGATGAATGGGATTCTGGGTAGAGTGAGGCTGACTTTCCAGGTGGAGGATGGGAGGGTGCAAGGCGACAGGGTGTCCCTCTGCGGTGCTATAGGAAACAGCTTCCGCCCCCCTGGCCTGAGCTGTCGCCTCTTGTCCTGACCTGGTCTCATGGAAACCTCACCAGTGACCCCTGCCTCTCAGAGCCCTTCGCCCTCCCACCCTCCCTTATCAGGCTTTACACCAGAGCAGCCGCTGCCTTTGGAAGAAGTGCTCTAGTCATAGGCATACTTCTGTATCATACAAGCGACTCAGCTAGCACTGGGGTGGAAATGGTAACAGCAAAGCACAAAACCACTCAGCCTTTCAAAACACTGGAAAATCTGAGGAGCATATGGACAGATTTGTGTGAAACACACAGTCTTTGGTAGTTTGTTTTCAAAAATAGAACTAAGCCTAATAAACAGACCAGCGCTTTGCTAGGACTCTAAAGGTGATGGTAGTCACGTATTGAACTGTCAAACCATTTTTGTACAAAGAGGAATGCATTTACTTGTGCACTCTGTCTATAATGCTGTTTGTGGATTTAACTGCCTTCTTAGATGGATCAAAGGCTCACTGAATTTTTTTGTTACTGATTTGCTATGATTTTGCTGTGTGTCTTTAAGGAATATAAGTTTCAGAATTTTCAGATGTCAAAAACCTCTTGATGCTTCCTTTATTTCTTTTTCTTCTTGACACTGTCTTTTTATAGTGTGTTCACGTTAAGTATTCAGTTATCATACTGATGTTATTACTAACTCAGTAATTACTTAACACCTCTTACCAGGAACTCCATTTAATCTGGAGCAGGCTTCAGTCTCTTTTAATGAACTCATAGAAAATTGCCTTTCCAGAGTGTGTGAAGTTAGGAGCACATTTGCCAGACTTATAACCATGTTCCTGTGACATGCCCGGGGGCCTTCTTGCTTCTGGCACTTACCCCTTAAACTAGGCCACTCTCGCAGGCTAGACTGAACCAAAATCAGGGTACAGGGGCAAAAAGGGGATGATGATTCCTTTAGGTCTTTTTAAACATTGTAGAAAGCTTTATGACTTCCTGAAAAAAACTATTCTGAAGATTAAGGCCTAGATAAATGTACTCATTTCCTATTGCTACTATAACAAATTGCCATAAACTGGCTGCCTAAAACAACACAGACTGTTGTCTTACAGCTCAGTAAGTCAGCTGTCCAGACTGGGACTCCTGAGAAAGACCAGGCTGTGGTGGGGAGAATCTGTGCCCGTGCCCTTCTCAGCCTCTCCCAGAAGTCCCATTCCTGGCTCCCTTCTTGCACCTTTGGAGCAATGGTAGGTTTTGTTTCCCTCGCACTGTCACCTGCCTCTCTCCTCTGCCACCTCCTTCCATGAAGAAGGATCCCTGTGTTCACTGGTCTCCAGGGCTAACCCAGAATAATCTTCTGTGAAGGCCGACTGAGCTGCAGCCTTAATTTCCCCTTTGCCGTGCAACATAGTGTTCTGGTTTGTGTCTAGATGTCCCCCAAAGCCTCATGTGGTCATAGGCTGACTGCTGAATCTGAATGCTGAACCTAGAGTGTGTGATTGATTCACAGTGCAGTGCTGATGCTAAGGGTGCTGGGGTTAAGGGTGGGTGAGTGTTACATGGTCTGATCCCCGTAGACTGGATACAATAGATGGCACAGAGCATGGCTTGTCTGCTCTCCCTTGTTGCTTTTGCTGTCTTACACTGCTATGAACCGTTGCCCTCCTGCCATGAGCCACCCTGCCTTAGAGCCAGCCGATTATGGACTGAAATCTCTACAAACTGTAAGCTTAATAGACTAGGGTTCAAGTATTTTATCTCAGCAACAATAAGAGTAACTAAGATATATAATCACAGATTCCAGGGTCTCTTTCAAAGAAAGGGAGGCTGGAAAGGTATTATTGTACTTTCCACAGTAGGCGTCATCCTTCTGTGATTGTTTAGTTGCCACTGTTTATCCAACAGTTACAAAAACTTTGAAGGCTCTATGTGGATAGGAGCTGTGCCCAGCAAGAGCCAGGGAAAGAGAGCGGGCAGTCAGCTGCTAGGAGCTTGCCAGCCAGGGACAGGGAGCGAGACCAAGTCGTCACTGTGTGCTGTGTGCTGACACGGGCATGGCCCAGCTTTGGGAGGATGTGGGGACGGCTGTGGCAAAACAGAGCTGCTCTGCTGACTGATTTGCCAAAGGGCCCTCAGCGTGTGATTTTGGGGGCTCCATCAACAGGAGAGAGACCCAAATCCCAAAGAGAAACCAGAGTTCACCACTGCCGCGTGTACCCCACCCACCAGTTCATCTGCTTTGCTCCCGGCCCCTGAGCAGGGAGAAGGGCAAGGCAGTTTTGACCCCTGGTGGGCAGGGGTTGGGGTAAGCGGGTGGAGACCTTTGAAGGTTTGAAATGGGATCACTTATCAGCTCTTATATGGGATGCAAAAAAGCCGTGCTTGCACATGTGTTAAAAATTTTTTAACAGACTTAAAAGTGAGATTTCATGATGCAGTTGAAGTGGGAAAGAGGAGCAGAATGTGAGGAGGGCAGCTGTAGTCTGTAGGCCGGGAAATGCCTGGCCCTGTGCTTGCCGCCAAGCCCTGCTGCTCAAGGAGTGAGTGACCATGGCAGACCAGTCAGAGCCTGTGACAAGTGCAGTGACTGTCACAGCCCACCTGGGCTGTTGGGAAGTTGGGGCAGGGCCACAAAAGTGCCAATCAGCATGGGTACTGGGGAGACTGGCACCTGCACCGCTTGTCTGTCCGGCGTGTGAATGCTGTAGCCACATGCACGTTTTCCTGACGCCTTTTTGAACCACATTTGCACTACTAGTCCAGACTGGGGTGGGATGGCTTCTTTGTGCAAAGCGCTTTATCGTATGTGGACATCTTTTCGGTGCACAGATGTTTACCAATCCCACTTTGTGCTTCCTGGGCCTCGGCCTACAGGGAGACCCTCCTGTGAAGTCCGCTTAGGTGTGTGCGTGTGTGTGCGCACGTGTGCATGTAAGAGTGAAGTCAGACCGGGGCTGGGCATCATCCAAGGCCAAGGGGGTGGCACGCAGAGTCCTTTCAAGTTCAGAGCAGAGCTGAGCTGGCCGGGACAGAAGAGCTTTCTGGAAGAGATGAAGCTCAGCAGCCCTTTCCAGTTGGCCTGTGAGTTTGGCAGGAGTACAGAGTGGTAGAGCAGGCAGGGGGCTGAGTGGTGGTTGGAGGAGGACGTGGCCATGGCCTGTTAATTGCCCTGTGCATCTGGAAATGCTTAGGTGCCTGGCAGCTGGGAGATGGGGTTCCCGCCTTTGACTCCTTATTTTGTGTGCTTACTTGTGACTCCCTAGCTCCACACTCAGTACCTGGCACACGGTGGGCACCTGAGGGTGGGATGTAATCAGCTGGCACAGTAGAGAAGGTGTACCTGTGCCTTGGCTTGCCCTGTGCTCACCTGTGGGAGCAGACCAGACCCTTCAGACTTGAGCACAGAGATAAACTATCTTCTCAAACCTTTCTCCGCCCTGGCCGCTCTTTTGGGCCCTATTTATACACCTGCAGCTCCAGGTCTCACATCAGCATCCATCCGCTAGAACACTTGGGAGAAGGAATGCTTGTAAAATTGTAGGTGTAAGACACACTCAGGAGGGCATGATCTTTGTCAACCTCCTGCCATGCGGTTAGCAGATGTGTTGTCTCTTGATCTCCACTCCTCTGTTCTTGGTGTCAGAGATTACAGCAGTGAGGAGAGAAGGAGCCACTGACAGAGACCTAGGCACACGTTGGTGACTACCTGAGAGTGTCAAAGTGTGTTACATGATTGTGATCTGCTGTTTGCTTTTTTTTTATTTTAGATTTCTCACATTGGCAAACTGAAGGATTTTCTTCTGGAACACAGGAAAGATTACATTAATGCTTATAAGTAAGTGCATCATTTTTTTGCCATGATCTTGGTGACTGTGTGCTTTCCTGTACCTGTACTGCTATCACTTTAGAGCTTTCTGCCCTTGTGTTTCATGTAACAACTGAGAGCCATACAGAGGAAGATGTGTCTGCAGCAGGAGAATATCTGAAGTGTGAGAGAGCGGTCCTAGAGCCAGGTTTCGGGGCCCATGGCCCCAGGCAGGATACCTGGTCTGTTTATCTATGAGGTGCTGTGGTCTCCTGGTGACAAGCACTCTCTGCGTGCCCACTGCGTCTCTGCGTGTGGACCTGGCTTTGCTCCACCGTGCTGAGCTTTCCTCCCAGAGCTCACCAGCTTATAGTGCTCTGCAGGGGCTGGGACACAAGGCTTCTGTGTCCTGAACCTGAGAGGAGTGAGGTCTTCAAGCTCTGTTAAGCTTCTTTTGCCTGTTTCGCTGCCCAGCCTGGGACCATCGAGTGGCTGCCTGCTGGTCTCTTTCCCCCTGCCCGCCCTGTGCCTCCTTCCCTGCCAGTGCCCAGCCTCAGTCCTTCTGGGCATCCCCCCCCCTTGTCCTTCTCAGGAGCTCTTGGCCCTTGCTGCAGACAGGAGGATGCCCACTTTGGCTTGGCTTTTATTTCTCCGGGCACTCTAATGACTCCTTTGATTCATCGCTCAGTGTGACTCCTGGTCACGTGCCTCCTGCTAGCTAGACCAGGTGTCTACAACTGCTTAGCCACAGTCTTTTCAAAACACCCACTGGATGGTGTCAGCACCTGAGCGGCCCCACTGTGAGTCCCCAGCCAAGGCAGTGTCAGCACCAGCCGCACACTGGCTTTGTCTGCTGGTCCAGGCTCACTTGACACCCTGCCCGCCCTGTGTCCTGCCATGGTGTCCCACCTGCTGCCTCCACCCTGCCACCTTCCTGTACCCGCATCCATCCGCTCCTGGGTGGCTACCTGCAGACCACAGCACTGTCTCCCGAGAGGCTTCTCCCTCACCCTTCACGAGCAAGCTGTCCTGTCAGCTTCTCTTTCTGCATTCTATGTTTTCATAACACAAACCATGCTTACTAATTATCCAGTGTTACTAGTACTTCGTAGTTTTTCATAGCTTGTAGTTTATAATTTGCCATTTGATGTTGTTGGCTCCTCCAGTTATTAAGTATTGCCAGAAAAATGAGTGACAACTCCGTAGTCCTGAAGGCCACCATTAGTCCAGGGGTTCTCACCCGTAGAGACGTCTTTGTTGAAACTTAGTTAGACAACTGATCCTGGGAGCTGACAGGCAGACAGGGGCTTGCGCTGTGGCTTCAAGTGGGAGGAACAGTGCTCTGCAGTGAGGAGCATCTGCCAGGAGGTTCCCGGCGCTGACCTTGAAGACCCTGCTCCAGCCCACCCTGTGCTCTCTGCAGAGCACTGATTCACTCACCAAATGTTTGCTGGATGCCTGCTTGGTGCCTGGAACCGTTCTGGACACTTAGGGTGCAGAAGTGAGGAGCCAAGTCCTGCTGCCCAGAGAAGCCCAAGGTTATAGTGCGTCGGTGACAGGGCCCATGGAACGGAAAGAGCAGAGCCCTTGGGACTGGGGATGCCGGGAAGGCTGTGGCTTCGCAGTGTGGTTGGGTAGGTTCGGAGATGGCATCTGAACCCTCGTGGAAGTGGGAGCCAGAGGCTCACTCTGGAGCCCGTGCCATCTGCACTGTCCCTCAGTGGGAAGTCGCAGCTTTCCTGGTTCTGCTCTGGATTCGCAAGCTCTTTTCGTTCTTCCATTCCAGGCATGCGCTTGTCCTCACTTTCTCTTTAGCCACACCCGTTGTCACCTTCTTTATGGGAGGTGGGAAGTCTGCATCAGCAGTCAGGCTGCTTTGGGCTCTGTGCCCTCTTTGCTTTCTGTCACTTTATTTTGTTTATTGATTTCTTTTACCGTCTCTGCGGGCTGGGCTCGGCTCCTGACCCTCAGCCTCCCTGCCCTGGCCTCTTCCCTGGTACGAGTGTGGACCTGGCTTTGCTCCACCGTGCTGAGCTTTCCTCCCAGAGCTCACCAGCTCCAGCGGCTTTTTCTCAGACCGCACTCATTGGGATCTCACAGCACTGCCCCATGCGTCCCTCCTCTGTCACACAGTGTGTCCCACAGTGCTGGCGTGAGACCGCACAGTGAATTTCTCTAACTGGGAGGTGGGGCGTCTTAGTTGGGGCCACCGTGGGTAACACACTGTGAGCAAGGTGCACCTGGACACACCTTGTCCCGAGTGAGCCCGGAGTGCTGGCCTCGAGTGAGGCTTCAGGCTCGCATGTGCGGCAGCTGTGCGCTGGCTTTGTGATAGCTGCTGGCAGCCCCAGGGTCCTTCACCCCCCGCAGCGACACCGGAGTCACCGGGTACCCGTCCCTGCAGGTCTTTAGTCATAGGTCATGGTAGCTGAAATCTCAGGTGGCAGCTCACTACGTTCTATCTTTTTACTTATCTTTGTGATTCTTAATTTTACTTTTCAAAATTTTTTTCAAATCTATTTTATTTTTAAAAAATAAGAATTTCAGAACACGATGGTTAGGGGCTAACAGTGGTGTATACATTGGTATTGTCACCTTCAGTCATGTACTCAGAGTGCAAGACAACAGCATTTAGTTGTCCAAACAACACCAGCATGAGCCTTTCTCTTCCGTGAACTAAGAGAAATCAGTAGTATAACTATCTGGTTTTGATATATTACATATCATCCTAGAAGTAGTTGTTCAAGTTACAAAATCAAAGCATAAAAAAAATGAACAGACAATCAATAATGCACAAACTATTCTGTTTGATAAGCTAACAAAACCTTAGTAGTGTGGGTATCTATCCTGCACACTTAAACTATCTCAACTCTTAGGTATATATACATGTTTATATGTACATATTGTTGTATGTATATATATGCATATATTTATTTCAGCTTCTCACACTAGGGAGATAATACAGTGTTAACACGTGGGTGTCTGATTTATTTCACTTAGGAGTGTGGTCTTAGGTTGCATCCATTTACCCACAGAGGTCTCAAGTTTATGCTTCTTAATGGCTGAGTAGTACTTCACTATATAAAAATACAGCCTATTTTTATCCATTCCTTGCTTGATGGGCATTTAGGTTGCATCCAAGATCTAGCTGTTGAAAATTGTGTTACTATAAATATGGGTGCCCATTTATTGCTGAACTCACTACATTTTAAATTTGTTTTTCTCTAATGATAATGTTGAATAATTTCCTGGTCTTTTCTGGGCTCTTAAAGTTTCTCAGTTTCTCCAGATTTCCCATTCCTTGACCTCATTTAGAGCAGTATGGTGGGCTCTGGGACCCTCATCCACGGCTGCTCAAGTCCCCCTGTGGTTGTGGATGCCTGAGACCCCCTTTCATTTCCTTATAGTGCCTAGCACAGGAAGAATGCTGTGTTGATAGCTGCCGCACCATAGTGTACAGGGGCGAACCAGGAGAAACGCCTCACCCGCGCACTGCAGATGTGTCTGTCTTCGTCGGAATGCTTTGCCAGCTGTTGAGTCTGCCGAAGTGAACACAGTCATGAACACAGAGGAGTGACTGCACGTTTTGGCTCTGACTATTTTTTGCCACGTTAGCCCCATCTCCCCAGGATTCTGTGGTTAGCCCTTGCGTCCTACTTGTCCCTACTTTGCATTAAAAGGACAAATCTAGTCATCTGTCTGTTAGCCCAGTTGCTCATCTCTGCCCTTCCCATGTCAGACAGGTGGAGATGGAAAGCACCTTGTCTCGCTCGGTGGATCTCCCTGCACAAGTGAAAGGATGTTCTGAACCACGACAGCGCCTTCTGGGAAGGTGGGGTGGACTTAGAAAGAAGGAAAGCATTTTGACCCAGACAGCTTGTGGGACAGCTTGCGGGTTTCAGCACGTGCAGGGGCCGTCAGAGCAGGGCCCGACTCCACCCGCCTCGCTGCAGCAGCCTGTGCTGCGGCATCCTCACCTAGTGCACCATGTGAATATGGAGCGGGGGAGCGGAGTTTGACGTAGAGATGGCAAGTCAGGAGCATCCTCTTAGGGTCTCATTTTAAAAAGATGAGATACTTGCTCTCCAGGAGGCTTCCTGTCACAGTTTGACAGTGTAACAGAAACCTGGGCTTTCACCTTTTTTCTTTTTTTTTTTTTTAACTTTGTCAGTATATACAAGCATGGAACTGCTTCATGTAAATTCTTCCACAGAATTTATAAATACTTATACCCCTGGTGAGTTTTAAATAATTCCTGATGCTGAGTCTACTTATACTTAACACAGGCAAGTTTACCCTTTTAAATGCATTGTATTTTGGAATATACTAAAATAATTATCCTGATGCACAGTGCAAAGAAAACCTTAATGTCTCTGTGAAAACACTGGCTTAACGCTAGATGGCAGTGTAAATTTTATTTCTAAAGGTGCATATATGTATCCTGTACTAATCTGATAGGCCATAAAATGGAAGCCACAATGAATTTGGAAACTGTAAAACTGATACAGACCTGTCAGCTTCCAGTTTCTCTCTTTCGTACCTGGAAGCTGTGGTTAAAGCCGTGATCACAGCCCTTTCCCAGCGCTGCCTTGTCAACTTGGCCTGGAGAAGGTGTCCATCAGGGCACACACAGGAGATGGGCATCCTCCCTTGGAGCCCTGGGAACCCAAGCCCATTCCCCTCTCAACCAGAGCTCAGCAGCCGGCCTGCGGCTGTTAGCTGAGAGCTGGGGAAAATAAGCTCAGGAATGATGGCACCACCCGCGGGAACCGTGTGAACCCGGGTTGCCGAGCTTCTGCAGCTTGCTGGTGCGCAGCACACCTGTTGTTTGCATGCCCTCCCCGGCTGCTCTTATACAGATGGAATCGCGTTGCTGGACAGAACATGAGGCCCACAGATGTGATGTGTTTATGGTCGGCCCTTCTCAGAAAGTGTTTGCATGGCCAGCAGCACGATCACCAGGCCCAGGAGGCAGGTGAGAGGCTCGGAGCCGGGTCTTTGAAGTACAGTGAGAGCTGTGTGGTGTCACG